ATTATATTTACGGGACCCACACTCCAACCAGATTTAATGCTCCTCATATTAAATTGGCGTATATACAAATAAATATTAAATGAGGATGTCGAAAAAATGTATCGACAAATAATTGTTCATAAAGATGATCAAGATTTTCAACGGATTATTTTCCGAAAATCTGCCAATAGTCCACTACGTGACTTTAAGTTAGAAACAGTAACTTTTGGCGTAAACTGTGCTCCATACTTAGCCATTCGTACACGCCACGAACTGGCAGAAGACACAAAGTCAGAATTTCCTCTGGCAACACAAGTGCTAAGAACACAGTCGTATGTGGAGGATATCCTGTCTGGAAGCCACAGTCTTCCACAAGCACACGAGACCTTACCACAGGTAATAAATGCCCTTTAAAAAAAATTACAGCCAATCACCCAAATATTCTAAACAATATTCCTAAAGACCATTTGTTGGGTACTAATTTCCTTATATTTAAAAAGGAAAGTACAACAAAAACACTGGGCATACAATGGAATGCGATATCTGACCAGTTTTCATATACTACAGAGTCAATATCTGCAATATCCGCCATCACAAAGAGACAAATTTTGTCCTCTGTACCGAAACTTTTCGACCCCGCAGGATGGCTTTCGCCAATTATGATACAAGCGAAAACCCTGATCCAAGAATTATAGCTAGACGGAACCGACTGGGACGAACAAGTAAAGCCTTTTCGCTTAGATAAATGGTCCCAGTTTGCTAAGAACCTAAAAGACATTTCGTAGATACAAATTCCAGGGTGGGTAAACTACTCCCTCGGATACAAAATGGAACTACACGGTTTCTGCGACGCCTCTAAAAAGGCATATTGTGCCACTATTTATGTGCGCACACAAAGCGATATTGCAACCACAAGCCACCTACTGGCGGCAAAAGCAAAAGTCGCACCCCTAAACACGATAAGGCTACCACCACTTGAACTCTGTGGCACTCTGCTACTTGCAAAGCTAGTTTCCATGGTGCGGACCTACTTGAGCATGGCAAAATACAAGTTATACTATGGTCCGATTCCGAAATAGTTCTAGCCTGGTTGGAAAAACCACCACATGCGTGGAAAACATATATTTCCAACAAAACGTCTCAAATACTTGACCAGTGCTGACAATCCTGCTGATCTAGGTACAAGAGGATGCAAACCTCTGCATCTCGCCACCTCCACCCTCTGGTGGAATGGCCCCCAATGGTTAGCAGAATCTSCCGATTCTTGGCCACAATCGCCCATGCGCAACATAATTGCCCCAGAAAGTCGAAAAATTGACACTTATCAAACAACCCTGTATGATACTGACATCCTTGAACAATTCTCATCGTTCTCCCGAGCGCTCAGGGTAGTCGCCTATATGTTCAGATTCATAGACCGACTCAAGCATAAAGCTAAAGGGGCGACCTATCCCCAATGCGACACTTTAACTCACCAAGACTTGCAAAAGGCAAAAATCGCCCTTATCACATCAAAACAAACGCGCTACTTCAGCAGTGACATGTTATTATTAAGAGAACTGAAGCCGATTGATAAAAAGAGCTCACTCTTAATATTAAATCCATTTCTAGACACGAAAAGTCTGCTTCGTGCGAATGGTCGGCTGGCAAATTCAAGCCTAACATATAATGAACGCCACCCTATAATCATACCTGAAAGGTGTCCATTTGCCACCTTATTCATCGCATATATCCACATACTAATGTTACATGCCGAACATCGCCTCATGCAACATATGGTTCGCCAAGAGTTGTATATACCCCGACTTAAGCCCCAAATAAAGAAGTGCATTTTCATGTGCAAGATCTGCACTATGCATAAGCAGAAAATGCGAACCAATTATGCTCTGTCTTTCACCACAACAGGTGTCGATTTTTCTGGGCCTTTTCAGATAAAGGCGTCCATGCTAAGATCTCCCACCCTAATGAAGGGCTATGTGGCTGTCTTTTTTACGTAGCTTTCCATCAAAAATCATGAGCGATAATGGTAAAACATTTATCTGAGCTCAAAGAGCTACTGAAAAACAGTTTGTGGACTTCACAAAACAAGTCTCAACGGACATCGGTTTATGGGAATCAGCTGTAAAGAGCTTCAAATCTCATTTCAAGAAGATAGCTGGCAGCTACAAATTTAATTATGAAGAATTCACTACATTATTAACTAACATCGAAGCCGTTCTCAACTCACGGCCCCTCACGGTTCTCTCGCAATATCCTTCCGGTTTCACAGCCCTAATTTTCTAAAAGGAGCACCCATTCTGGCCACACCTGAGCCAGGCGTGGAGTCGCTATCCGTACTAAATAGATGGGAAAGAATTAAAATTATCCATCATAATTTCAGTCGCCGATGGAAGGAAGACTATATCAAGGACCTCGACAAGAGGTACCGATGGAAAATTACAGAAAATGCGCCAAAGATTGGAGATTGAGTCCTGATACAGGACGAGTGTCTCCCCCTTACCGAATGGCAGCTTGGCCGCATATAGAAGCTTTACCAAGGCTCCGACGGTCATATTCGCGTAGTCGATCTCCGTACGCAATCAGGAAAGTTAACAAGACCACTCGTTAAGCTATGCTTTTTACCGACCGCCGATAAAATAAATATTATAAAATAACAAGCAAAACAGCCTAATGGTCGATCAACTTGACGACCCACCTATGCCACGCACACTACCGAGGAGTGTACTTCGAGAAACGTGTGCCCCCTCACACCATGCTGCACTGAACCACCAGACACGACATCGGTCAGCATTCCGGTAGCCACCACCGTGGCGCAGTACGATGACCGCCAATAAGCCGGGATGCACGAACCCGTCGACAACCAACCATATCATCATCCCGTATCCGGCGGCAACAGAATGGGACGTCGACCCGACGCCTGCAACAAACGAACCGTCCGCGCCGCACCTCCGGCCTAAGCACCGTTGTAGCCACGATCACGCAATTGCAACGACTTCTAGGCTGAAATATTCGCCTATGTGGCCGGGATGGCTAAATGAGCTTCAGTCTCCTGCCCCATACAACATATAACCAACACCGAATACCTAACCATAGCAATAATCCCGCCTCCAGAACACTCTACACTCACCGCATTAAAACATACGTCACTAGCACGCTTCATTCACCACACTCATCTCTACACCACCCACAATCCACATCACACATAACTACATAACTACACTGCATTTTTCACCACAATAAAAAGAGAACAAAAGGGGTGGAGAAACAAGTTCGTAGCCACTTCTCTTTGCGATCTGCTATCCAAAGCCGTGCTGTTCACCCCCAGTGCCAACCTTTAATATTGTGCCAACATCCAATTTTAAAATTCGAGCAAAATTAATTTTAATAAAATACATTTTGCGAACTTTTTGGCGGAATTGAGTGTTGCCTTTTTTTCTTGTAATTCCGAACGGTGAGTGCGAGGAAACTAATCGAAAAATACAAAATTAATTTCGATAATTAATTCAAAAATGTAAACATTAAAGATTATTTAAAACCGAAAATAGAAGTCTTGATCTAGTGAAGCCTAACAAAGGCACTGGCAACGCCGATATTGAGAGATTGCAAAACACTATTTTTGAAAAAAATCCAGTTTTAATGATTGAACAAAAATCTTTTAGTATAAAAGAAAAAATTAGTAAAGCACTAGAATATTATAACAATTCTTATCATTCAGTTACAAAAGAAAAACCAATAAACATTGAACAAAGAAATTGTAATAAAAGAAAAATTTATGAAAACATTTTAATAGGAAAAAATAATCGTATAAATAAAGGAAATGAAAAGATAAAATTTTACAAAGAACAAAAGGGTAATGGATAAAGAACAACCGAAATATAAATATTTTAATTTGGAAAATATTCATAACTCTAATATTGAGATAAAAGTAAAATTTGAAAATCCTATTAGAATTTAAGATATATCTTCAATTCTAGCGTTGGAGGAGTTACATATTGTACTATTCATCGTAATAATTTTTGAAATTACTTTTGTATTTATTCATTACTCATATTCTCATATTTTTGTAATATACGCAATGTGATCGAAAATTATTCGTCAATAATGGTGCGTCTGTGCCTTCTTTCGTTCACTGGAATGTTTGAAACTTTACAAGTGACAATGATTACTCATATATACATATGTATGTACACTACGAAGATGTATTTGGATAAAATAGATTAAATTACAGATTATTTACAGCTGAAAAAACATTTGTTTGATTTTGTTAATTACTAATTCAGGGATGCTTAAATAAAGCCCGACGAAGTTTTCTGTTTACATTATAATGGTTTTATGTTACATACAATGTATTGGTATTCAGTTATTACTCAAAAATAGCAAATGAAAACGGCTGATTTTGAGATTATGGATCCAATTACTTTTGTCAAATTATTGTTTTCGTGGACAAATTTCGTATTCGAGTGTTTCAAGTGAAGGTCAAAATAAGAAAATTTGTGAATTTGTTCACGGGAAATGTCCTTCACGCAAAGTTTACAATAAAGGTAATCAATTTATATTGGCCCTTCACTAAGTAATTTCGGTTTTTAAGTGTAATTCATCATTTTTCGGGCAAGAGACGCTTATATTAATTTTGCTCTTTTCAGGCAATGAACGGGAAGAATTGGTGTTTACATCTTGATTTGAAGTAAATACTCTCCCATTCAAAAAGTACAAAGGCACATCTGGTTCAAACCCACTTTTCGTTGCCAGTAAAAATGCTTTTCAAAAATTGATAATATAATGTTTGACAGTCATTAATGCTACAAAGAAAATTACGTTCTGTAAACACATAAGATGTGGCTTGAGCAGGATTTTTACCCTTTTGATCGTAAAATATGCCGAAAATTCTGCTTTCGATCCTTCATCTTCGATAGAGCACCAAACAAGAAATTTAAGACATTTTTTAAAAACAAATTACTTAGTGAACGACACAATAGTAAATTATAATAACGATATAATTTGAACTACTTAGTTGTACTTACTTAAGCCCATCACTACGTTCAGCAACACCATGTCCACAGCGCTTGTCTTTCTTCCATTCTCCCATATATATTTCAGTCACTGCAGAATCTAGTTGTTCATCTTCCATTGTAAAGCTGGCGTTGGAATCTGTGTGGGCCGACCTTAAGGAAAGGAACAATTATTCTGGAATTTCCTTTGGTATATTATTTTACCTTGTAGTTAGGTTGGATTGTTCTGATCCGGTGCTTGCCCATGATGAGGTTGACGCCGTTGACCTTACGCTGCTGGATGTTAAAGTGCCGCGTTTCTCTAAATCTCCTGTACTTTTTTGTTTTCGCATTTTAAACCCCTAGCAAATATTGTTTAATTATAATGCATTTTTTCATCAGACGACGTCTTACAGATAAAAATCCTTTTTTTGACTTCTCCGTCAAACTGTTGCGTCGAGCAGGTAGTTTATCCGATCTTGCAGTTAGCACGAAACCCCCTCTTATTTCTTCTGACCGAACTTTATCGACTTCTCCAATATCTGAACTCCGTAACGAGTTTAAGGACGTGTGAATATCTTTCCGTCGATAATGTGATGCTAATCCGAAGGGAGCTGAAGTCCGAATACCATATCCGTGACGTTTACCCTCTTGCCATTGCCCTTGATATTTTCCTTCAAATAAATTAATTTTTATATACAGTCAAGCCTGGATATGTAAGAATTGGCTTAGTGAAAAGCTCTATAAGTGAGAGTAATAGCTAGGTCCCGTTATTTTCAGCTTTCAAAACCTGTATTGGTGAGAAACAAAAACCTCTGTAAGAGAGAGTAGTTATTGTCGCATAGACCTCCGTAAGTGATCCTGCTATTTATCTGGTCTCTATAAGCGAGAGACGAACATTATTTACAAGTTTAAAATCTACAATTTTATGACTTATTCTTTGTGAAACTTAAGACCATTGTTTTGTATTGTTTTCTCATCAATACATATTGTACCTATTCTATTTCGTGGAACTAAAAATGTTGTTGCTCGATGGCATAGTACTGTCATTAAGTGATAAACTTAACATAGTCAATGCGTTTGAATCCGGAAAATCGCGGAATGAAATTCAGAGAGAGCTTAATTTACCAGAATCCACCCATTATAAAATCAAAAGATTCTATAAAGTCTGAGTGCTCTGATGGACATGGAAATATTAAGAGGAGTAGAGTTTCCGAATTTCGATAAAAACAATCCCATAGATGGACCTTTGTTAAAAGAAAAATCAAAAGAGTTTGCTACCAAACTGAGAATATAGAACTTTTTCGCTTGCAACGGCTAGTTAGATTGTTTAAAAGGCGTCAGGATATAACTTTCAAAAAAGCAGTTGGGGAATGTAAATCTGTGGACCAAGGTGTATGCAACCACTGGACTGAAGATCTGCCAAATCTTTTAGAAGGGTATGAACTAGACAATATTTACAACGTGGATGAAACTGCTTTGTTTTTCAAGTGCCTTCCAGACAAAATATTTACGGCGAAAAATGCCATGGTCGAAAACAAAATAAGGTATACCTTACACTTCTCCGGTGTGTAAACATGAGTGGTACGGACAAACTTCCACTTCTCATCATCGGGAAATCAAAGCGACCTAGATGTTTTAAAAGAGTGAATACTTTTCCCGTTGATTATGACAATAATACAAAGACTTGGATGGCCAAAACATTATTTAAAGAATGTAACTGTTAAAAACTGCTTAAAGGAAGCTGGGTTTTGGAATAGTACAGATAAACAAGACCTGCCAGAGGAAAATGATGTTGAAGTTAGACCTAACAAAGAGGAATGATCTAAGCTTGTGTCTCACGAATCCAATATGTTAATGCCGAGCTTCGAAGATTTCGTTCAAATTGACGACGACATAACTACCGCTGGAGAACAAACCGACGACGATATCGTTAATAATTATGTGGACACCTATCATGCTGGAAATGACAGTGAAAACGAGGCACAGATTTCAGAAACATAAATAAAGATCATTAAAATGAAGCCAGGTTTAAGTGCGTTGGAGACGGTCCATCAGTATTTTGAATACACGTCGGTTGTTGATCAAGGAATATTCAACAATATTAGACAATAGTTAGACAAAAGCATTCAAAATACTAAAACACAAACCCAAACAAAATTGACGGATTTTTTTAAGTGTAAATAAGTTCTAACTAAAATAAAATTAAATAGTGCATGAATTTTTGTTTTGTTTTCGTAAGAATTCAAAAATATGTATGTACATAGACAATATGTACATATGTTGTGCATATCAAGCACATAATTTTATCATATTGCATATGTACATATTTACTACATTCGTACTTGCTGTGACTTGTTATTGCTGCGTACTTCTATAAGAGAGAAACACTACACATGTACCTGCATTAGGAGAAACTCGGGTTAGTGAGAAACCTCTTTAAGCGAGAAAAAGATTGTGCTYCCTTGAACTCTCGCTTATACAGGTGTGACTGTAAATAATTTTTAGAACAAGTTGCTTGTTTGTAACGCCTAAAACTAATCATATCGGTATACGTAGGTTGCGTTTTAGATTTCGGAATTGGCAACCTTAGTGATGCTATCTGGCAACTCACAACTCTGTCTTAAAGTTGCCATTTTTTAAGTTCTACATACTCGAAAATGTTTGCAGTAATTATAGTAAATACAGAAATTAAATCGAAGTTGATTAACTGTATAACAGGTCATCGATGAACTAATGAACTTTCTGCGATGAAGTTCCATGAAGGAGGATATGGTAAATTCAATCGAAATCGTATCGATTGAAATGGTTACATATTTTTTTTTTTTTTGGAAAACTAGACATAACGCAACAATACAACTAGAACAAGGCAGATCAGTATATTCTCAGCAATATAAAATTTTTTGTTTCACCATGACATTGCGAGCTTTAAAACATCAACTGAAACAACTTAAGGCATTGATTGAATGAGTACTTTATCATATTAACTTTGCTTCAACAATTGGTTCAAATGCAAGAAGCAATAGTGTAGAGATCTTAGTGAAGAATATTTTGAACAATACTTAACCGATTTTAGATGATTAATATTTGCTTCCAGTCAAACGTGCTATCTCCATACAACGGTTTTGTTAAAAACTAAATAAATCAATAACCAAATGCATTTGATACATTAAAGGTTTACACCTTATATTAGCCGGGTTCAAAATTGGAGAATGGGCGTAGTACCTTCGACATTTATGTGAAATAATATCTCCGGATCTGCTGGATCCATTTCAACCAATTTTGGTACACAACATGATCTTGATATTTTTGTGGGCCCAATCGGACTACAACTAAGCCTACTTCACATATTGCACAATCTTAAACTCCATATAATTCTCTCCCTTTCCAATATAAAAATCAAGGTCCAATTAATTCATATATCCACGAAACTTGGCACAAATAGAGCTTTAGAGTTAAGCCAGCGAGAAAAATTGTCAAAATGGGTACAAAACGGTTCAATCCCTTATAATCCGAATTTGTGAACTCACGGCATTTTGGCATTTTGCTAAAAATATGGATCTTTTTACATTGAATATACCCTTGTATGAAAAATGGTTTGAGCAAATTTAAAATATACCGTGTATCTTCGTAAATATAATGAAAATCCACCTGAAGGTATTTTACATTATTTGACACTTGGAGTTGCAAGAGTTTAAATTGTTCACTTATACCCTTAGAACTTAGCACTTCTTTACTTGCTGAATGAAATCTTGTTCCTACATTGACACTCAAATGATTTATAAAAACTCCTTATATTCCATTGTTTTTGAACGGACTCTAACTTCTCCAAATGGACTTGATAACTAGGGTTCATACCACAAAAGCGTACTCTAGAATTCCCAAAGATGTGAAAAAAATTTTTGTAGCCAGCGGATCCATGAATTCCTTTAAAATTAAAAACAGTGGAAGATGCATGAAGATGAAAATTGAGTTTAGGGTACATAGTTACTCCCAGATCAACAAAACTGCATACTTGCTATAAGATTAAGGTTTTTATTACGTATGAAGTATGGTCTACAGATCTACTGGAAAAGCACATCAATTAAATCAAAAAAAGTATCGTTAAATATAACTTGTTATATCACTAAGATAAGAAACAACCCATTTTAGAAATATTGGTAGAAAACCAAGAGATACAGTTTATTCGAATAAATTGAATTGTTTACTTTATCAAAAGCTTTACTAAGATTTGTGTATATAACATCAGTATGCCTGTTGATACACAATTCTAGCAAATTAGATACTGTAGATTTCCCTTTAAGAAAACCGTGCTGAAATCCAGAAAGTTATTTAGTCTGTTATAATTGCTTCAAACAGTTTAGGTATTGCTGACAACTTTGCTATTCCCCTATAGTTCAAATGACTTTTTCTATATTGATGGAAATAACCCTAGCTTAAGAAATACATTAAATAGTTTTGTTAAGGATTAGTATAAATATACAAGAAGCTTTCCAAAGTAAACAGGACCTTTTGAATCTAGCGCCCCCTGGTAGCACCATCTATATAATTTCATGACATTTCATTGATTGGAAGTGAAGTTATTGTGTTTTAAGTGTCAGTTTGTTTGTTTTATAGGTGCGACAATGAGCTTCGAACGAGGAGCCAACATTAAATTTTGTTTTAAAATTGGTAAAACGTTTACTAAAACGTTTATGTTGATGAAACAAGTTTATGGCGATCATTGCCTATCCCGTAGCAGAATGCATGAGTGGTTTCAATGTTTTCAAAGTGGTCATGAGGACATAAATGATCAACATGTGGGCCAATCAAAATCTGTGATCACCGGAAAATTCATTGAAACTCTGCGTGAATTCATCAAAAATCAGCCGAAATCATTTTGCAAAGTGGAATCGAGAACAATATAATTCCTTTACATAAGAGTCTTGTGTATTATTAATGAGTAAGTTGGCTATGATTTCGATATTAATTTCCAAAGCAGGATCATCACATCGGACAACAGAGAATATTGAAGCGTTATCAACTAAAATCAGATCTAACAAGTAAGGAAGGGCTAAGTTCGGGTGTCACCGAACATTTTCTACTCTCGTATGACAAGTTTCATCAAAATATCTCAATTTTTACTCAAGTTACAGCTTGCCGATAGACAGACATCGGGATTTCAACTCTACTCGTTACCCTGATCACTTTGGTATATGTAACCATATATCTGACGATATATACCGTTATTAGCAACTTTATTGCGAGAGTATAAAAATGATGCCYTCTGAATTACATGAAAATATCTGAGAGATTTACCGATATTTTCGGTGAAAAATTAGGTTAAGTTAGGCACTGAGTTCTTCGTGTTCGATATCAATGACCTTGAAAAGTTATAGTCCGATCAAGACAATTTTTCCACAAGGCATAACTCAGCTCAAATGCAGTATTTACGTAAAGTTTTATTCCGCTATCATCATTGGTTCCTAATGTATATATTATACAGAGAAAACATCTGATAGAATACAAACTAGCGTTATATTGGAAGAAGGATTGGTTGTGAACCAATTTCACCCATATTTCGCACATCTGGGTGTTAAGAAAATATTATATACCGAATTTCATTGCCGATCGAGTAGTTCCCGAGATATGGTTTTTAGTCCATAAGTGGGCGACGCCACGCCCATTTTCAATT